TATCAAGATGGAGAAGTAGAAAGCAAAAAACTTCCTTTCCCAAAAACATACATACATATTTTAATTATAATAAATAATTTTTCAACTTTATTTTTGTTATAAATAATGAACTGCTTGGTACATATCCATAATAAATGATTTAAAAATGTGGTCTCCAAGAGGAGTTCACATATATAAAAAAAATAATTTATGAGTAATTTCAAGAAAAAAAAACTGTCGAGTTTTGATTCACTGATTATTAGAAAAAAAAAATTGTGAAATATTTGATAATGAGAAAACTAGACCTACACTCTCAACAAAATAGACTGTTCACGTCATTTTTCATTGATATTAACTTCTCAACTGTACTATATTTTTGAAATCATCCTTGATATTGAAACAATTTTCACACACCAGATCAACTGAGGAAACTACCTATTGTTTTGCGGAATATGTCTCAAGTCAACAAACCTCATTTTCATCAAATAATGGGTCAGTGTATTAATATTATTGAAAGTACTTTACTTACCGAAAATAGAATATGGAAAGAATAGCAGACAATCCAACATTTCATTAAAAAAACTGACATGAATGAGCTATACTTCCACATACTACCATTTATATTGCTGTTATTGTAAAAAAGATGAATATAAACCTTCAAAAAATGTAACAAAATTTCCGTTAGTTGGTGAGATTGAATGCTCTGGTAATGAAGCTACTTTATCTGATGTCAGAATTGTGGTTATATCAGTGTAAAGACCTAGCAGTGACGCTTTAAGTTGCATAAGACATTGTATAAGATAATACATTAACTTTCATAGTAGAAGTATGTGAATGCGAACTGCAAACAAATAATGCTTGAATAATGAAAACATCAGCAGAATGAAAAATAAATTAGATACTCCATCAACATGGACATATCTAGACGAAAAAAACTACCGGAACTTATACTTAACTGCAGCAAGTAAAATAAAGAATGAATATGCAATATTATAATTATTAAACTATAGGTAACCTGTACAGTATTAGAGATAATACATCAAAGTGGTCAGATAATACTTGAGATAATAGACCTATGTACCAATTCTGGCCTTTAGCCTTAGGATTACCATTATTATTTATTTTTCTTAATGGAATATGTCCAAACAACTTGATACAATTTTCAGCCTTATATCAAGGGCGTACAATTTTTAACCTTATACTTATCAAGGGAGGATTGAGATCCAAGAGTCAGTGGAGGGGAGGGGGTTATTTCTGAATTTCAGAGAAGTAATGTTATCAATTACTGAAAAAGTCCTGATTATGCAGCAATGAAAGTTCTGATAGTTTCGCCCAGAGGATTATAATTTTCTTTCGATTTCTACGGCTATCGCTTACAGACTTGAAGAAAATAATTTTATTTTGTTCTGTCCGAACATTTAGGAAAAACTATTAAAATGATGAATGGTCAGGTAGAGGCATCTAGTCGTATACTTATCAACCTTTCGAAGTAGAAACCTTACAAAACTACCACAAAGAATAAAAAATTTCTTCGCACAAANTTCAGATTTTTCCTAGTTATAGTTTTTCCGCAATCAATCGATGCAATTCCTGGAGATTCATCCTGTATACTTTCCCTTTAAGTGATAAAGCCTACATTGAAATCATAAAATAGAATAGAGGTGTATGTTATAGTTCATTTGAGAGGGCTTTCTATTGTTTTTCACTGACAGAAAATTAAATTTTATAATTTGTTTGAATATTTGAACTGAAATTATTATCAGACCACATTTTTTTCTAATAGAAACATATAAAAGAAGAAAGTAATTCATCGATAATACACCAACTGGTGCAAGTCACTTTGCTTTCTCAGATTTGAGAATTCTTTTTCCATACAGTGAAATTGATAGAAATGTTTGATATCAGAACGGAGCTATACTACATTTTCATGTACGCCCCGCTTAATGATCTGTTATTTATTTGATAACGATAAAAATTTATTATTTTACGATGAGAGAAATTAACAGAACCGTATTTCCGAGAATAAAAAATTAAAAATCTATCTTTTCAAATGACTATCATACACTCATTCTATTCACAAATTTTCAAGGGAGTACTGTTATTCAAAGAGGGTTGAATAGGCATAATTGACGTGTTCCAATAATTTTGTATAATGTTTTGTGTGGTATTGATAACGAGTTTATGCTTTACTTTATGGTAATTATGACGTGTAATAACAGGATAATTGTGAATCAGAATGTCCTAAATTTACCATTGTCGTACGTGGATCATCTTTCTAGTGGCAGTGCATGAATGAACCAATTAGTGAATTTAAGCTATTTCTGTGAAAGAATCAGAGTTTCTGTTACCTCTTTTAGTCATTTTCAGTAGGTGATCTCATGAAGAGGTAATCATCCCTATATTACAGTAACATCAAAATTGTAAACCAAACTCATAAAAATTATAAATGTTACTCAATTAAAATTTCACCTACATTGTCAGATTTCACGAAAAATAAATTCATAACAAAACGATCAATCTCTCAATCTGCTACAGTGTTCACAAATTTTAAATATTCATCCGCGAAGGAGAAGGTGAAAGTGGAAGACCCTATTATTTTTTTATAACCAAGGATAAGTTAGTTATAATCTCTTTTTTTGTAATTTTAATGAATATCATAAATAAAAATAAATACTATGTACAAACAACAATAAATACATTAAGTTCAGGTTTGTGTTTTTCGGCTGATTTTCTTCAGTAATCATAGTCGTCTTGATCATCCAGTCCGAATCCTTCACCATAGTCATAATCGTCCACACCTGGTGGTACAAAAGCCCCATTTAGTGCCTCTGAAATTTGGTCGCCAAGCCCAATTCTAGTCGCTATTCCGTAAATGAGCCTCATAACAGCTAACCTGGAAAACATTAATTTATTATTAATTTTCTCGAAAAAAGTTTCTGTAAGTTGATTGAAGATAAATAATGAAGGTTTTTTATAAACAGCAATTAAAAGTGGTTATACAGTGTCATCCCCGAAGTATGCACCATATAGGAAACTTATTTATTAAGGGTTTTTCGACAAAAA